TTTTATCTATTTTATCTTATTTTTCAATTTTTCTCAATTCAAAGATCTCCCATCTTTCACGCGAACGTTTCTTTTTCGTGTATCCTTCCAACGATTGATTTTTAATCAATGAAAGTTTCGATAATTAAGAAACTTACGAGCCGAATTTCTTTCCTCTTTCAACGAAGAGAAATTCGCGAACTATGTTTCTTTTTATGTCGGAAGAAAAATCATTATTCGACACTAGGCAGGGGGAATGAAAAATTACATGTTTTCTGGCGATGTCATCGCTCGAACGCGCGAGGTTACGTTCCAAACGAATTCTTCCTAACGTATGGCACCACTTTGTCCGATGGAGTCGACCGGCTGTCTTCTGTAATAACCTCCCTGTACTTAAGTGAACATCGACCGAGCGAGAGAAGGAAAGTCACTTTCCATCTCTCTCTCTCTCTCTCTCTCTCTCTCTCTCTCTCTCTCTGTCTTTCGTTTAAAAAAGACTCATCTTCTCTCGGCTTTGCTACGGCGAACGAATGCTCCTTCGTTTTCTTTTTTCTTCCGTTGCTTCTTCTTTTTATTCGTCTCCATCCTTGCGCGCGCAGCAGACTTTCGTTTCCTGCGTACGCTCCTTCGTATCGCTTTACCGCAATTAGTTTGCGTACCGCGCGTCTTCCTCCTTTAGTCCCCTACCCTCCCCTTAATTCGAGCGCCAATCGTAAATCCGCGCTGACGTCGTCTTCTTCGTCGTGCTTTCCCTCGACCGTGAAGAAGGAAAAAAAAAAAAAAAAAAAAAAGAAAAACGTGTCGAAAATTGGAACGTCTCTCGACCCCCTCGCTTATACCGGGTGGTCGTCGTCGCGAACTTGGATGAAACACGCTCGGTCGAATGTCTCCACGAAAAGATACTTGTCCAAAGGAATACTCTAGTTCTCGGGGATATCAAAAGAAAAGAATATCATTATTTTGACTGTGTCGAGTAACTTTACGAAGGAAGAAAATTTTTGTCGCCTACGAGGATGAAGTCACATTCACAATGGGCACCTTGGCGATCGCGGCCGAACTAGGTGGAGGTGGAGGTGGTGAAAGAGGAAGAGGTGCTAACATCGGTATCCAGATTTAGTTGTACAGGATGGGACCGGCCAAACGTCGAAAATAAAGCGACACGGAGACGTGTCGCCGTGGCAATAATGCGGAGATTAATTTCTCACGAGCCGCCCTTCCGAAAGGCTTGCGCGCAATTATGCGCGAATGACGTCAAGTCACCGACCATGTACCATCCTTCGTATCGTAATCGCGTCGTTAGAGAATTCCTAATTTTCTAGTTCTACTCGAGACAACGCGACTCCGATGGTTGGTCGTCTATTACTTTTTTTTTTTTTCTTTGTTTTCTCTCCATTAAACAACGCGCAAATAGAAACGCGAAAACCTTCTCCTCGATCTTTGCGTCTTCAAAGTCCGTTATTTTTATCGTAAGTCGCTCGATAACGGTGCCTCGACGAATTATTTCGTCGACGGCCGGGCAGATGTTATCAATGGCTCAACGTGTATTTCATGCGGGATTTGATTGACGTCCCCGTGAATTACGAGAAAGGCGCGTGTCGCTGAACGCCAAATAAAATTAGCCTCTATGGCTAATGCGCGTTAACGCTACGTAGCGCGCGTGTGTGTGTATATATATATATATATATATGCGTACGTACATACATATATATGTATATATTACTCGTGCGTTGGCGCGTACCTTTGGCGTTCCCTCTAGAAGAAGCAACTTTCTTCGCTTCGGCACCTTTCTCACGCCCTCCCACGCTCGCTTTCGAAAGAGAGATACCGTGTTATGAGATCGATGGGCATTCGAACGTTCTGATAACACGCCTAAGTTTCGCCATGTTCCTTATTCCTTGGCGATCGTCGTGAACGATAAATTGTTACTTAACCCTCGCAAAATTCGTCAGCGACGATGATATTCGCGCACGGGCGACGACTTTCGATGAAATTCAAGGCAATCTACCTGCGTGTCTTTCATTACGCCGTGAATCCAGCGATCGGCGACTAACTCTCGAGACTGCGTTCTCGCAATTTTTAGCATAAACGCAAAAAGAGAAATTTGTTTTCGCATAAAGTCGCGAATACAAGTAGCAGTGGGAATTTGACAAAGGAGCGCTTCAACTGGAATTGGTAGAGTCCTCGAGGGAGAAAGGGATGACACGAGTACCGTTACGAAAACATCCCCAGGAGAGGACGTTGCCTCTTTGATTCATTGCTTCCTGCTCCAGCACCGCGAACCGATCGTATTTTTGTCCGCGCGAGATCTCGCGCGTGTTTCTTCCTCGTTTCTCTCTCTCTCTCTCTCTCTCTCTCTCTCTCTCTTGCTCGCTCTCAACTCCTCCCCCCTCAAACCACTCCCCCTTCCCCGATTCCCTACCACCCCGATATTATTATCTCCTTCTTCTTTCTCGGCTCTACGTTTTTCTTTTTTCCCCTCCCCTCCTACTCCCACTCTCTTCCCATTTCTCCTTTTCTCATTTCCAGACTTCTCCCTCGAGCGAGCAAACCGGTGGCACGCGAGCACGTGAAAAACAAGACGCGTGGCGCGTGAAAAGAAGAGAGAAGGGAAAGAGAGATCCGGTGAGATCACGCGGATTTAATCAGCGCTATTATGACCTAGTTGCGCTCGACGTCGCATAAATCTCTGCGCTACATAAATCCTCGGCGTCGCGGCTTGCCGCGAATTTCCAAACGAGACGAGGGCGGGAAGGATTTATTAATTGTTTCTTACACGGGGGAGACACTTTCTTTTCCGTCGGATAAGTCCGTCGTTCCTTAACGGTGGCTAAAAATTTGCCGTGTTTCTTGATTCTTCGTAAAATCAGGAAGGATCTTCTCGAGGCAAAAGTGAAATCGAGTTGTACGCTTGGGTACTTCTTCTCGTCCTTATCTCCTTCACAGATGCCGTTCGAACTTCGAAAGACGGAGTTACGGTTTCTCTTTTTTACTTTCTTCGGATGTCGGTTACGATTTTTGAGTTGTAAACATCGACGATCTTTTCTCTATATTAATATTTATCGAAAGGAAAAATAATGTTTTCTCGTTCTGTGGCACATCGCTTTCTCCACGGCCACTGATTTACGCTGGTCTCTTGTCTTTCTTAATTAGGTTAAGGACTCTCTCGGTTCTCTCCTCTTTCTTTTCCATCGTGACAATTCGTCGCTCCTTGATTGTCGTTCATTGATTTATTCGTCTACCTCGAACGAAAACAATCAAGCACGTTGTTTGTTCGTCACTGTCACCCTCTCGAGATGAAACGAAACAAGAAGCGAGTTTCGCGTCGCGAGAAGCAGTGCCTGCTGGCGCGTAAGACGTCAACAACTGTCTCCTTCGTCGTGGCTGTTTCTCCTTGTCGCCGCGTCTATCGAAGGCCGTTCTAGGCCGTTCGTTAGCGGCCATTAGGCACCGTTTGCCTTACTTGCGCGCTCTTACCCATAGCCAAGAGTTTCTCGTCCTTGCGAACATTAGAAATCGATCGATTCTCGGTAAAAATATAATTACGAAAGTAATCGTCGACATTGGACGAAATCTTCCTTCTTGCGATAACACCAGACACGGACGAATGAGATAATGGTCCCTCCCAGTTCATTTGCATGGCCGTGGAAACGCGTTGGTCGTTCCACATTTTTAATGTCGTACGTTGAACAAAGAAAAAGCAAAAAAGAGAGGAACAAGTACACCGAGGGTTCTCGAACGGGCGCGTTATTGCGACACAAGCTGCGAGAGGATGTTTATTCGCGCGGCACGCTTCGGATAATTTAATGTAAACGCTTGGAAATTACGCATCGGCGTAGCGCAAAATCTCCCGACGTGGAGGACTATGCGAGTCGAGGATTGCTTTCGAGGAAGTAGAGAGAGGAGGGCAGAGGTGGGGGACCGAGTTAACGAGCGAGCTCCGCCGCCGCGCGAGAGGGAAACTTTGAAATTTATTAACTTGTAAGGTACGTTCTTGCGTTCCGTGGCAAGAGCCACCCAGAACCCAATAAAATGTTACTTTCGTTACTTTCTCGCGGTCTCTTTTTCCTCCCCGTTCACTCGCCGCGCGCCCGTTCGCTCGCTCGTTTATTTTTTCGCCGCGCGATAAAACTTCTCGTCGCGTGTTTTTCTCCCTCCCTTTGGCTCTTGGCCGATACGCAAGAGGAGGTACTCGTGCCCGCGGCAATTTCGAGGCAGTCGGAAAAAGTCGGACTCGCCTTCCTTTTCAACCGTTCGATTTTAACGACGCTTTTTCGCCACCATGCCAAATAACGGAGTCATCCTTACTTAACTGCTTGAGTTAGCGAGAACGTTTTTTTTTCTTTTTCTTCTTCCTCAACGCTGAATCGTTATATATAAATATATATGCGTATACAATATGGTACGCTTAGTCTCCTTCGGACGTAAAATCAGCCGAAAAAAATTGTACAAGAGGAGTCATGGTACGTGATAAACTAGGAGAATCGGTAAGAAGGTCACTGGTAAGTCGAAGAAGTTATTATTTTCGAGTTGGTTGCGAGTAAGACAAGGCGACTAACTATGATAATGGCGTCTGTTTTTCGCGAGTTCTCTCTAGGTGAACGTCGACTGTCGGTGGAGCCTATGATCAACTATAAAGGCCATCTGTTCGCTTTTAGAGTCGCCTTTATACCGTGTGGTGACGTCACTCGCGCAGGAGATAAACCGACGATGGACGCCCACTCGGGTATCTCGTCGTGCCACCTTATTCCATCCTCTCTTTCTCTCTCTCTCTCTCTCTCTCTCTCTCTCTCTCTCTCTCTCTCTCTTTCTCTCGGGCGCTCATGCACGCACCTTGTTTTCTACGCATCGAACGAGGCGCATTGACGGACGAGCGTGTTATATACGACGCGACTTTAACGATGCTTCGTTTAATCGCCACAATTTCAAGTAAAGTTCTTCGCGCTGGAAATGCTTTTGGCATGATTATTACGACGATCTCGGGCGGAGACCGCTGTCGTTCGTAAATCATATCTGGCTCGACGTGATATTTTTTTTATTCCACGGACAATAATCATTGCCAATGATTATTTTCACGTTGTCTCTCGTACGATAATAATGATATAAAAATCGATCGTTGATCCGATAAAATCGATAGGAATAGGAATCGAGGAAAGACGACGAGGATGACTGTTCGAAAGCGCCTCGCAGCGTGAAAGGATGGAACGATCTCGGAGTTTTAGATTGGCTACGTGCCAGGCGTCCCGACGCTTACCGAGAGGGTGGACCGAGTCCGACCGAAGACGGCGTCCCGGCGTCGAGGGTCCGTCAGTGCGCGTGTGACATGGCTGCGAGGCGCTACGGCGACCTAGACGCCCTCCACCTCGCGATGTGAACGCACCCGCAACCGTTTTCGAACGATTGGCAATAACTGTCTTGCGAGCCCTTTGCATCCTTCCACGTTTCTCTCTCTCTCTCTCTCTCCCCCCCTTTACCTCTATTTCTTACTCGTTCACAAGCTTACTCTCTCCCTTATTTCATCTATCTGTTTTCTCTCTTTCTCTCGCTCTCTCCCTCTCTCTCTCTCTCTCTCTCTCTCTCAATCGCTCTCTTTCTAACCTATCCGAAAAAGACCGATCGTCGTTACGACAACGATCGACGACGACCACGCGAGCCACGGATACTTCCTCCTTCGAGAGGATAGGACGAGAACTCAGTGGCCGTTATTCGCGTGAGATTCACGAACGAAACGTCCTCGACGGTGAAAAAAGAAGAAGAAGAGAAGGAGGAGGAGGAGGAGGAGGAGGAGGAGGAAGAGGAGGAGGAGGAGGAGGAGGAAGAGGAGGAGGGCAAGAAGAAGCAAAACAAGATTAGCCGCGAAGAACGAGAGAAAGAGACGCTTTCCTAAGGGGTAATAGTTCGCGACGTGACGTAATCGCGAACATCGTTCTTTGCAAACTCACTCTACTACTTATGATTTCTTCGATCGAAAAGTGTTCAGAGACTCTTTGAGTTATGGCGTTGGTAACGAGGATACCGAACGATTCATGAATCCATGTACGGAGCGTTCGAGAGGAAGAGATACGAAACTCGTTCCCGATCGTTTTTTCGAGACGTCAAGCGTTTATCCTTTCGAAGAGATCGAGCGAGGATTCGCCGAAAGAAAATGTAACGGACGATGCGAGGGCGATCTCCGCGAGACAGGATGGCGAGCTAAAAGGCTCGTCCAAAGGCTCGATTTTCCTTTAATCCCGGAGCTCCGAACGAATCACGACGTTATCATTCCCAGAACAAGAGAAGACTGCATTCCCTAATCATTGAAAAATACATTGAAAATAGAGAAAGAAAAGAAAGAAAAAATGTACGAGGAGAGGAGAGACAGGGCCGTGAAAAAAGGATGAAAAAAAAATCTTTGTAAATAAATGCTCGCGGATCGAGGACCATTAGTATATTTTATTTATTTTTAAGGATTATATCGCGATATTTTTTCAAGCCTCTCTTTGTCGTTTCCTTGAATTTTCCTCGATAGAACAGTGCTGCGGGCCGCGCGTTATCCGTGTCGAGGCCGTGCGTAAACGATGACAAATCGAACGCGTTTCTTTTCAAACGCATGACGTTTAAGAACGAAAGTGTCGCGCGTTATATGAATTATTTTAAAAGTAATACCGTCGATCGTCCCGACATTGGGTATAACATTGAAGGAAATCAATGTGCCTTTTGGTGAGACCAGTCGCGATTCTCGTTGGAGATAGAGAAGAAGAAATTCGTTCTCGAATCGATCGCCCCTAAGAGAAAGAGTGGCCGAGCATCGAGAGGATTAGAAGGAGGAGCAGAAGAGGAGGAGGAGGAGGAGGAGGAGAAGGAGGAGTGTTATTGCACGAGCGAATCGAAGCCGAGTGCTGCGAGCTACGTGCGTGCATCGGGTGTCCGTGTGTGCTGAAAGTGTGGTGCGCTCGCGCGCGAAGTGCAGAAAACGACGATGGAATATCGGTGAGGTCACGAGGTCACCGCAGAATGCCTGAGCCGAGGGCGAAGCGCTGTAAACACTGTGACGGTACGCCGTGTGCATCTTCGTCGTCTTCCTGCACTTTCGCCAGTTCTGACCGTGTTTGTGTGTTATTTCTGCAAGACTTTGCAATACGTGCTTTTTACTAACACGATTAACAACGACGAACGAATAAAGATCGTTTTTTGATTGCTGTGGCTTGTCTTAATTAACATTCTCCACCCCTGTCGTCTTTTACAAAATTTTACATATTTTCAGCTCTTCGATTCCTCTCATTAATTAATTTCAATTCCTCGGTTCGACGATAATAAAGCGCGAACGAGCCAAATAATCGGATCCTTCTTTGCGAAGGCTGTTTATTTTTTTTTTCTTTTTTCTTTTTTTCCTACACGGGAAAATCGCAAAGCACGTTCTCGACGACGTTTTATACGTATCCCAGGTGCTCTTTATGTACCTGTTTCAACCTACATAACCAAATCGGCTCCCACGAGTGTTTCATCATCCGCGCACGACGTGCGTCGTTGCGGAGAAATTTTCGCGGATGAAAAGTTTGCTCTTAATTAGGCCCAGAGGGGAGGCCATTTTATCTCTGGGTCATTTATTCCGTCCTACAGACACTTGGACCCAGCTTGAGGCAGGCAGGCAAGTAGGCAGGCAGGCAGGCAGACAGGCAGGCAGGCAAGCAAGCAGGCAGGCAAGAAGGCAAAGCGAGTACGCGAAGCGCATTCCGATCGGATGGCAAGCAACCGCGTCGTCCAACTACACGCACTCTTTCTCTCTCTCTCTCTCTCTCTCTCTCACACGCACATACACACACACACACACCCTGTCTTTCCTCGCTATTTATCTCTCCACCGTATTGGCCGCGCCAGTATTTTTATCCACGGTTATTCACCCCCTTATCTGCGAATAGAGTGGCTCCTTATCCGCCCGAGTCTCCTCGAGTAGTAGTATTCTTCTTTTTTTGTAGCATCCTTTTCTCCTGGCAGCCGGTTTCGTGAATGAAGCCATACTTTTATGCTCGCTATCGCTCGCGACGATCTTTCTCCTTCTTCTCTCGAAGAGGTCCGAAAAGGAATTCGGAAGAAGGAAGAATTCGTAGATCGAATTCGATCCTCCAAGATCGAATCTTTCGCAGAGTCCTTCGTTTTATCGTTGTCACGGAATGGCCGTTTCCTTCGAACGTTCAATTATTTAGTTAGTAACTGTAGTTAATGGCCAACGGTAAAAGTCCATTAAAACTTCGACCAATCTCTTCCTTTGCATTTTCGTTCCGTATGGCAAATCTTCTTAATCTATCTATTCCCGAGGTATCGAGTAAATTCTGGTCTAAGAGATTATAAAGGATCGATTGAAAAAGGTGCAATATCGGTGTTGCCCGGTGTATTTCGACGGGCGGACGGTGATGTATGAAGGGCCAACAGCCGGATGATTACCAGGAATTCGTTCTCGTTCTACAGGATGTTCTCGTCATTAAAGAGAGTCTGCCTTTTTTAATCACTTTCTTCATCAATCACTAATCCGAGCTCGTTCTTTTCCATCTCTCTTGCTGTCATCTCCACGAAACAAACATACTGTCACAGGCTAATTAAACGACTCGTCGAAGACCAACGCATACTTTGGTATCGCCTATTGGTAGTCCTTCCCGATCGTTCTCCTGTAATAATTAAAAACGATCATTACGATTAGCAAAATTTAAAATGGACTTAAAACTTCCTGCATGCTCCTTCGAACATTTATCAAAGCCCGACTAATTAGTCATGGACCATTATGCGTTACCGTTTCTCGAACTTTCGGTAGGCCTCTTTATGAATCGGTGATTCAGAATGATCGATAATCTTTTGGCGATTCGGAAGCCGAAATTATCGTACGTGCATCGATCTTCCTTTGCTTCTCACGTTCTCTCGTCGGCTGAACGAGAATTACGTAAGTAGGTTTTTTAAATCCATCCTTTTTTCTCTCTTTCTTTCTTTTCTTTTCATTTCTTTCTTTTTTTTTTTCTTTTTTTTTTTCTTTTGCTTTTTTGCGACAACCTCCAAGGTCGGTGTCGGAGAAGAACACGAGAAAAAGAAATAAAATAAAAATAAAATAGACGTGAACAATGAGCGAAGTGAAATAGAAAGGGCGATTTATATATCCGAAATTCTCCTAACGCGATTCTCTCTCGACACGTGTCTCGTGAGACGATTTATCAACCCCTCCGCTTTCATTCGGGACGTCCTTTTGAGCGACTTTGTAACATAAAAAAGTGAAAAAGAAAAAGAAAAGACAGGAGAGAAGTAAAGAATGAAAATAACGCTTCGAAGAACATCTTGAAACTATCTTGAATCGTTTCAATATTTTTTGCTACTGTATTATTTTTGTAGGATCGATGATTGTCCTTCGAACTTGGGATAGGAAAAGATATTTCAGTGGAGTTGTTTGAAGCAGGTGCGCCTTGGAAACATATTTTTTTCCGCGAATATTTTTCGTTTTCAAGCAGAGCAAGTAGTTAGCGAAGGGTATGGGACGGAGTGTCTCGGACACTACGTTTACGCATCATCCATAATGGAATAGTGTATTTATACTGCTCCTTCTCCTCCCCCTCCTTCGAAAGAGAGAGAGAGAGAGAGAGAGAGAGAGAGACAGAAGGAGAAAGATACGTGCAAGAGCGCGGCTCGACTCGATTCTTTATATTTTTAGGATTTTTAGGGGCCATTTTCTATTTAGTTTACGTTCTTACCCTCGTTAGATTCGTTAGAAGGATGAATACCTAGGCGATGAACGGGCGATACAAAAATAAAATTTGCCTATCAGCTTCGATCGATGAGTTCTCAGGATTTATCGCTTTCTCATCACGTTTAGACTCAACGTCGACGACGACGTTATGGCGCAAGAGAGCCGGTGCCACGGACTAGTTCGTCCAGAATTGTTTTTGGATTGGTATCGGACGATGTCTAGAGTCGTTCGTTAGTGTAACGTGTCGATCTCATCGTCGAGTACGACGACGACGACGACGACGACGACGACGACGACGACGACGACGACGACAACAACAACGACGTCGTTGATATAAAAGTGATTCGTGGCCACGCGAATGGCTCGTAAACACGGAAACCAACAGCTGCCGATGGAAAACATAGGCTAAATTTAATCACGATGCTGCTCCTCGTCCCTGTAAAAGTACTTAAGCGTTCGATGTGTTGGCATTATTTGACAATGGTACGGTAAGAGAAAGAATAGAACCGAGAACGTACGTGCTCAACCATATTTTCCCTTATTCTTTTTCTTTTTCCTCGTATATCACTCTTTAACGTAATACGAACGTAGAGATAGAGCAAAGGAAAAAAGAGGTTAAACCGATCTTTTTGCGAATTCAAGCCAATTCTCTAGCCGCAAGGATACATGTACCTACCATGGATGCGATTAAAGAATGTAACATCTAAATATTATGATAGTAAAAGACGTAGAAACTTTCCAAACAGTCTTTTCTCTTTCTCTCTCTCTCTCTCTCTCTCTCTCTCGACGCGCACGACCACGCGTAAATGTGGATTAAATGTCCGCGATTCGATCGATCGTAGCTTTCGTTTTACAAATGTATGATTTCGACAGAAGCTTCTTTCTTGATGACGAATTTCGATTACAGTCCGATGACGTTTTATGTCCTTACAGACGGAATGAACGATTAAATTTGTAATCAACTTCGACCAAATCGATTTTCTCCGAGGAAATTAGGACCGATGATGTATTCGATAATATCAAAAAATCGAATTCGTTCGTATCTTTATGGCCGTCGAATTTGATGGTTTCCCTTCTCCCCCCGCCCTCTCTCTTTCTCTCTCTCTCTCTCTTACTCTCTCTCTCTCTCTTTCTCTCTCACTCAATCTCACTCTCGAAGACCATACGAGAATTTGGCAGCCAGCGATTCTGGCCGGCGTTCGATTATTTATCGGCACGGTATGCGCATTGCGTGGGCGGTCTTTTTCCCCTTCCGTCTCTATTCCGCTTTCTGGCCGCTCTCCAAGCGGCGACACTCTTACACCTACGAATTTTTCCTCTCTCTCCCTCTCTCGAGATTCATCCTCATCGCGTCGCGATGTCGTACTTACTCGTGCCCTCTCATGCGTGTACGTGTATTATGCGGCTCTCACGGCACAGAACGCGAGCGAAATTTACGTCTCTTACGCGCGTTACGTCTTCTCGATTACGTGTACTCCTTGCACAGCTCGTAACCTCTTCCTTTTTCTCTACTCTTTTCTTTTCCAAAAAGCTTCTCTCGTCGGATCCGGAATCTTGGATTTTTCTTATAAATACACAAGAAAAGATATTTTTCTTAATTTCCATTTTGTTCATTATGCAATCGCGACAGATAATTTAGTCAAATTTCAAAAACTTTTTCTTCATTTTGTTAAGATACTTCCGCGTATAGCGCAAGAGTGTCTCGAAGACGTAAATTCGTTGGTTGATGAAGAGAGCGCACGAGAAAGGGAGCACGCGCGTGCGAGTCGTGGTGTAGTTTTCGTCCATAGAAGATAAGACAAGAGAAGAGGAAACGAGCCAACACGAGCCAACTAAAGGGAGAAAAGGCGAAGAGAGAGAGAGAGAGAGAGAGAGAGAGAGAGAGAGAGAGAGAGAGAGAGAGAGAAAGCTCTATTTTCGTCGCCGAGATTAGACTTATTTATGGGTGGTGTAGAAGGAGAGAGAGAGAGAGAGAGAGAGAGAAAAGCATCGAGCGATCTTTTGAAGAAGTCAGTCGTACGTTTCCGTTTCCGGAATTTAAGGCGCCGACATTTCTATCGCAACTCAAACACCTGATTTCCATTTCTGATTTTTTATCTCTTTTCGAATTTTTTCTTTCGCCATAAAATATTCGTTTTAATTAACTTCGAGAAACCAGTCGAAAGATATTTTCATTCGAATTGATAATCAGTTCGCAAAAACACGAAGATTTCGGTTGCGACCTCGAAAATTCGCCGACGTTTCCCCGATCGTAACTCATCCTCGCGGATCATATCTGACTAATAACCGTCAGATGGCACATCGAAAGCGATCTGGTTGGTACGAGGTAATCATCTCGTCTCCTTTTGACCCGAAATAAATTTCAGACGTGGACAAATTTAACTCGTTACGAAGGATTCGCCCTCGAGAAAGTGGTACGGATGCCTTTGCCGACTTATATCACAGGGATTATCAATCTCTTGTACTCTTCCTCTCCCTCTCTCTCCCTCTCTCTCTCTCTCTCTCTCTCTCTCTCTGGTCCTCTCTTTTTATCGACCGTTCGATCGTTACCCTTCTTCCGACTTTTTTCCTTTCATTCTTTATTCCGTCCCAAGTCCTTTTCTCCCATTCTTTTTCTTTTTTCTCATCGCGAACAATGTAGCAAGGCGCAAGCGCAATTTCTTGTTGCTCTTGGCAAGACGCACGAATGGTTTACGCGCTAACAGCTGTGCTCGCACGCACTTTGCTCGCGCAAAACATCGCTAATGGACCGACAACCCTAACCAAGTCCGGATCGCGTACGCATAAATATAGTGGGGACTCTTTCGCTTCATCTCTCTCTTTCACCTTCTCCCTCCTGGTCGTTCTCATCGCCTCAAATGGAATTTATTGCACGAGGATCTTACTACACACGCGGAAGGTACGCTTTCTTGACTAATCAAGAGATAAGAAGAAGCCTCGATTCGTTTGGGTAGAAATCTATTCGATCGTTTCCCAATTCCAATATCCCAGGATCTTTCGAAAAGATCTTTCCGAAGATTTTGCGTCGCGTAACATTTTCCATCGAGATTGCGTTATTGCATCCGGGTGGCAATGGAATTTTAATTAAAGTCCGATTTATCCGCGTAATCGCATCTCGCCGTTTGTCGAGTCGTAAAATAAAGCGAACGAAGTCGTCTTGCTCCGGCGCTTGCTGTTTCTGTTGCAGGAGGGAGATCATAAAGCACCGTTTTTTATGACAACCTTTGCTTTGCGTTTGTTTAAAATACGAGCACGAATTCAGCTTTGCACGAAACACGCCTTATCGTCGCGGCGTCGTTGCCGACGGCTCTCTCTCTCTCTCTCTCTCTCTGCATTTTTTCTTTTTTTTCTTTTTATTACTATCTAATAATCGTATATTTTTTAATTGAGTCGATTCCAAATAAAACGAGTTACGTACGACTCTCCTCGTATTCTCGTTCTATCTTCTGTTTAGAAGGGACAGAAATTTTTCGCAGAAATATTTCGACGTAGCATTGATCCTGACCGCGTGTTTTCAAGGCTTAATGAACGGGCGAAGAACTGAATCATCGAAGTTATCGCCGGTGGCCGCGACTCGCGCCGGCTTTGCCCCCGTTTCCTCGTCCGCGAATATAATCTTCATCCTCGAAGCCACGATTTTACATACCTACGTATGTGCGTTGCGTGTATATGTTCTCAAGATGTACCGAAGTTAAACATTCCGTGGAGCATTCACCCTGGCATTGCTGTAAAAATAAACGGATCGACAAACGATGTACAGCCGTTCCGTCTTCGAGCTATCCGCCTTCATTTACGATGTATCGTCGAATTGCCTTATCTCTCATTGCGATATACGATCGTGTCCATTCGTTATCATTTTCTTTAGAAGGCATAACACGATACGTTCTCGAACTTGAAGCGTCGGATCTCTGGGAAGAAGTGGAGAACCATCGAAAGTCTTACGGTTATCTTCGTTCTTCCAGGATTCGCTTGTTAACTCGACTCCAAGCCTGTTTATAGTCTTTCGACCTTAACAATATCATTCGAGACGTCTCGAATACCCTGCCAAACAATTCCCGATCGTAAAACTGATTTAAAGATGCAGTGTAAACGACAGCTCGATGATGTAAATTTTCAGGGCTCGTTTAACGCACCGTTCCTAAGATTAGACGTGTCCGACCTATCGCAAATCGACGAAGTTTGACCGTTACAAGGACAGTAAACGCGTTAAGGAAAAAAGAAGAAAGAAAAATAAATAAAAGAAGAAGAAGAAGAAGTTGATCTTAGGTATCGAGGGAACTCGTTGAAATCGTACGTGATTGGAACGATCAAAAATTTAATTTTTACGCCTATAATTTAACAGTAGAAGTACAATGGTTCGCTTTCCAAAGAAGTTTGCAGCCGACATTCCGATGATTTCAGCGAGATCGGTTCGTTTCAAGAGGAGAGGAGAGGAGAGGAGGAAGAAAGGAAGGAAGGATGCGGCAAAATATGCCAAATGAGTCAGTAAAATCGTCGATGCTTCACGAAATTAGATCGCGTCCGTATTACGTGCAACAACAATCCGCTATGTAACGTTAGTTCATCGATCTTGTCTCCGATGTCGACCCATTTACAAGATTATTCCAAATACTTATTCTTCTTGCGAATAAAATCTCCATTTTGCTTATTCTCTATTTTGCTTATTCTCCTTTCAGAGAAGAAAAACTCGATACTTTAGTCTTTCTAAATCCGATTTGATATTCCGCATTGCCGCGACTTGGAAGGAGCGTTATTTATGAGACGACCGAATGGTAGGTCTCAAAGCGTGCAGGAGTTAACGCTTGGCAGAGATTAGCCTCCGCCATGGAAACAACGAAGTACGAGATGAAAAACGATTATCCGACGAGATATGACGACGCCTGGCATGGACTTGGCTGCTGGTCTAGGAAGCGAACTACGATGTACCTCGACTGTTGTTATCCTTAATTAGTTCAACTCGCGGTAGAGAGAGAGGGAAAGAGAGGGAGAGAGGGAGAGAGGGAGAGGGAGAGAGAGAGAGAGAGAGAGAGAAAGAGAGAGACCGGTCCAACCTCTTTAACTCTGTTGCTTCTGTCAACCGTTTCTGTCTTTTGCTCTGCACGCTATCCTCTTCTTCTCTTCTGTTTCTTCTTCTTTCTCTTCTTCGCCTCTCCACCCTCATCTTCACCGTCGTCTCACCGGATGACCTGGATAGAACCCAAACGAAATACCATCTTCGTTGCTTCCTTTTTAGCCAGTCGTTTTGGAGAAACG